ATTAGTGGCTAAAGTTATTTCAAAAGTAACAAGCACCTAACTTATTTATGTTAACTTCATAAAAAGAAAATTCTCTTAAAGACGTTTCTCTGGGAATGTGATAAAAACCGTTTATTGAACGTCTATTGACGGTGGAAAACGGAATGGGAACCGGAATAACAATCCCGTGCCGGAACCGGTGCCGGGGCCGGTAGAAAGCTAAACGTATTACCCGGCGTCGCTTCTTGCCATTTTAATGTACGCATTTTATGTCCCGCTCTTCAGTAAATCACTTTTCTTTAATATATTTTTAAATTCTGTTTGATTTGGTATGAAATAGTACCTATACTTTTTATCAATTATGCTTGAGTTTTTTTTTTAAGGTACATCAACAATATACATAAAATACTTTTTCAGCGTTACGATTTTTTCGGCTTAGACTTTCTTTTTTTTTTGATACGTTGTTCGTTACAAACATACAATTTCACATACACACCACACCTAGACTGGCTCACTGATGTCCGGGGAAGGATGGTCGAAGACTGGGCTCTGGAGGCAGGCCTAGTCGTGCTGAACCGGGGTTCTGTCCCCACGTGCGTACGGATGCGGGGCGAGTCAGTGGTGGACATTTCGTTTGCTAGCCCCGCTCTGTCATCGCGCGTTGTTGACTGGCGCGTCATGGAGGAGGTGGAGACGTTTTCGGACCACCGGTATATACGGTTCGACGTCTCCGCCGAGTCCGCAGACCCGCCAGTCAGACAGGCCCCGTGTGGCCCGCGTTGGGCGCTTAGGCAACTGGACCGGGAGCTTTTCCTGGAAGCCGCAGTCGTGCAGGCCTGGGTGATACCACCGGTCAGGCCAGCCGACATTAACGAGGAGGCGAGATGGCTCCAGGACGCCATGTCAAGGATGTGCGACGTGGCGATGCCCCGGATCCGACCGTGCCAACGCAAGCGCCAGGTGTATTGGTGGTCGCAGGAATTGGCAGACCTGCGCGGTGAGTGCACCGCAGCGCGACGCCGATACACCAGGCACCGCAGGCTCCGTCTCCGCCCTCTGGACGCTGAAACCAGAGAGGCGGAGCTATACGAGGAGTACAGGGCGGCGAAGGCCACCCTCAGGGTGGAGATCCGGCGGGCCAAAGATCGGGCCCGCGAGGAGATGTTGGAGACTCTGAACAGAGACCCGTGGGGACGCCCCTACCGGATGGTGCGTGATAAGCTCCGCACCTGGGCGCCCCCACTGACTCAGAGTCTCCGGCCGGAGGTCGTGGACGAAGTGGTTGGGGCGCTATTCCCCCGACCACAGACGGGTTACACGCCTCCGGCTATGCCCCCGCCCCCTGCGGTGCCCAATGCGGGCTACATCGACGACGACGACGAATCCGCTCCGGAAGTGACCGAGGTAGATTTGAGAGTGGCGGTGCGCCGGCTGAGCGGCAAGAATACCGCCCCAGGACCTGACGGGCTGCATGCCAAGGTCTGGGTCCTGGCCTCGGAGGCTCTCAGGCCTCGACTACTTGGTCTGTTCAGCGCATGTTTGGAGAGAGGCCAGTTTCCGCTGTCGTGGAAGACGGGTAAACTGGTCCTCGTGAAGAAGCCGGGGCGTCCTGCGGACTCCCCGTCCGCGTACCGGCCCATTGTGCTGCTCGACGAGGTGGGAAAGCTGTTCGAGAGGATAATCTCAGACCGCCTCGTCGGGCACCTGTCTGGAAGGGGGCCGGATTTAGCGGACGGCCAGTTCGGCTTCCGAAGAGGGCGCTCCACGGTGGACGCCATCATGCGCGTGAGGGACCTCACGACGGGGACAGCGTTGGCCGGGAGGCGAGTCGTCGTGGCGGTGTCTCTGGACATCGCCAACGCCTTTAACTCGCTGCCCTGGAGCTGCATTTTGGAGGCACTCCGGTATCACCGGGTGCCTGCCTATCTCCGTCGTGTAGTCGAGGCTTACTTGACGGACAGATGCGTCATCTACCCCGGTCACCGGGGCGTGTGGAATCGGCGAGAGGTGTCGCGCGGTGTCCCGCAGGGATCGGTCCTGGGACCTCTCCTGTGGAACATCGGGTACGATTGGGTGCTACGCACCGACCTCCCGAGCGGCGTCAGCATTGTCTGCTATGCTGACGACACGCTGGTGCTGGCGAACGGGAGGTCGCATCAGGCGGCGGCCGACCTGATGTCACAAGCGGTTGCGACAGTCGTTGCAAGGATCCGGCAGTTGGGACTCGAGGTGGCGCTCCACAAGTCCGAGGCCATGTGCTTCTATGGCCGTCGGAGCGCGCCACCTCCAGGTGGGTCCCAAGTAACGGCAGGAGGAGTTACCATCGGCGTCGAGTCGGCGATGAAGTACCTGGGTCTCGTCCTCGACAGCCGATGGAACTTCACGGAGCATTTTCGTCGTTTGGCCCCTAAGTTAGAACGGTCTGGGGCCGCGCTCAAGCGGCTCCTTCCCAACCTCGGGGGGCCAAACGCCTCCTGCCGGAGGTTGTATATGGGGATTGTGCGATCCATGGCCCTCTACGGTGCCCCTGTGTGGGCGCCGGACTTGAAGCGGCGGCCGGCTCGTACGCTGGTCGCGTCCCAGAGGGTCATGGCTATACGAGTAATCCGCGGGTATCGCACGATCTCCGGGGAGGCGGCGAACCTCCTTGCCGGATCACCGCCGTGGGATCTAGAAGCGAAGGCGCTCGCGCGCGTCTACAGTTTGCGCGCAGACGCGCGTAGCCGGGGCGAAGATCCTTTGCCGCGCCAAATAAGTGCGTGGCGGAATGAGCTCCGGCGAGATCTCATGGCAGAGTGGAGACAACGACTGTCGCAACCGAGGGCCGGGCACGCTACCATAGCAGCGGTAAGACCCCTCTTTGAGGAGTGGCTTGAGAGACGCCACGGCGTCCTCACCTTCCGTCTGACGCAGGTGCTTACCGGGCACGGCAGCTTCGGTAGGTTCCTGTTTCGGATTCAGCGGGAGGAAACACCCGAGTGTCGTCATTGTGAGGACCACCTAGAGGATACGGTGGAGCATACGGTAGCGGTATGCCCTGCCTGGGCTGAGCACCGCCGTATCCTCAGGGAAGTGATCGGCGGCGGCGACCTCTCGCGCCCGGCCTTAGTCGAGGCCATGGTGCGGAGTGAGAGGAACTGGGACGCCGTCTCCTCCTTTTGTGAAGCAGTCATGCTCGCAAAGAGAGAGGCGGCCCGCGTGAGGGAGCAATCCTCCTCCTCACGCCCCAGCAGCCGCAACTGGCGACACTACGGGCGTCGGGGATCGAGGGACGATCTCCGGCCACCGTAAGTACGGGCCTGCGGTCGGCGAGTAAGGGCAGCTCGCCGCCCGACCAGAACCAGGCCCGAGCGTACGGCGCGTAGCGTTCCGCGCGCGCCTCAAAGAGCCAATAGACCACCACAGACGGGGCCCTAAAGGGCTGATGTTCAGCCGGGGTTGCGGGGTAAGCGCAATAAGGTACCGCGACCTCGGCACAGAGCAGGAGAAGGAACAGGGGGGTTTTTAGTCAGTAAGAGTCTGACACTCCCTCCTGCCCGGCCCTGGGCGGGAGAAGTCATTTGATGATTTTCCCCTCACAAAAAAAAAAAAAAACCACACCTAGACTCAGAACAAGAATTTTTGGATTACACAAAGAGTTGTTCCGTGCGGGAATTGAACCCGCGACACGTTGCGCGGCAGCCCGTTGTCCAGCTACCGCGCCAACCGTGCAGCCATTAATATTGGATAATTAAATTTCTATCTTGTTGTGGTTACATGAAGACATTTAAATTTAGTGTCATTCGAATTTCGAATAGACTTCCAATAACAAACAGAAATATAGGAATAAAAAAAATCGTCTCATTTGCGTACCATAAGTTAAGATCGTGACATAGGCTTTCACTTTGATCCACGCTTTGTAACTTTTCTACCACAGATTAAAAAAAAAATATATAAAGTATTGTAATGTTGGATTGATATCTACATGTTGATGTACATGGGATTCTAAAATAGGAAATTGATCTCTATGACTAAGTCTTTAAGTTACAAAATTCTGTGTAAATATTTACAGGTATCCTATTTGAAAAGTTCAGCTCTTTCATAATTCGAACGATATTTGCATGGTTCAGTGGCCAGGAAAGCTCTCACGTGTGATACGCGTAACCCTTTAAAAATGCAACATTTCCTTCGCTCTGTTTGTAAAAAAAAGTGTAGGTTTTATTTTTTATAAAATTAAAACGGATTCAGAATGTGATACTTGGTCAATGAGACCTTTTTGATGTAGGTACCCATTGTCATGAATAAATTTAAATTAAAAAATGCTTTTAAAAACAGTGTGTCAATAGAACTCGGTCATTAACAGTTACGAGAGCTTCTTATTAATTTAAAAAAGTCATACAGCTTAGCATTTATGGTCATGCAAATTAAAAAGCAACGTGTTTTTACAATATTGCTCAATCAGTTAAGTCACTGCTTTTAACTGATTGACAAAAATTCGTTGAAATCTGCTTTTAACTTCTATATCCAAACTAATATTATAATTTCGAAAGTAAGTCTACCTGTCTGTTTGTCTTTTCTTCCCGACTTAACTGCTGAACCTATTGCTATGAAAATTGGTACAAACATAGTTTGAAACTCGAGAAAGGACATAGGATAGTTTTTATACCAAAAATCTACAGGAAGTGCACTTTTCCACGCGAAAGAAGTAGCAGCTAGTTTTTTATATTTAAAAAAAGTTGCCTCACTCTAGGATTTTGTCTTGTGTCGTGGGCACTTTTACAAACATACAACATTATGCATAGCAAACTAAATAAAGGCATTTAATTAATAAAGATTCTTCTTTAGAAGTCACACGCAACCTCAAAACCTTATAATAATTGTTCTAAACGAATGACTATAACTGTATAGTACACAAGACGACTTTGCATCGATACCATCGATACCGAAGCACGTATACATTGAGTTGTCAGAACGCATTGTTGTGCTGATCTCTCATACATTCTCGGCATTCGACTGCGAATGTATTGGCTTGAAGGTGCACCTCAATCTAAGGCTGTATCACAAAGGAATTGCGGTGGGAAACCGGTATAATAGGAGATGCCTGTATATCGGAGGTTTGAGGTCTGAGGTACGAGTATAATAATATTATGAATATGATAGTTCGTTTGTGTGTTTGGTTGTCTTTTACGCAATAATTACTTGACGGATTTAGATGAAACTCAACGCAATCTGAAATAAATACGGGCGACTGGAATAACGCGTATAAAGCCGTTGGAGGCAGCTTTTGTTTTCTAGGATTGCCTATGTTTTTTTTCAATGTTGGTAAAGTAAATGTGTAATAGTTTTAAAAGGCAAATCATTAATTTGATTTCTAAATCGAATAGAAGAATCTGCTTCATTTAAATTATAGTTATCAGTATGATAGCTACAGATTATAACAAAAGAAAATAGTATGTTTCTTGTTATCAATAAAGCAAAGTTATAACACTTTGATTCCTAGGACCTACATGTATTCGAAGAAAAAAATTACTTTATAAAGAAAGGAAGACTTGAGTAAAAACTTTCTACGAAACAAACAACTGCACTGTAGCTGTTAAAATATTCAAGTTAACTGGCTTTGCTTTGTAACCAATGTTTTTAATTTCAACCCTGTATTGATTTCACATGAAATCCTCATGAAATTATTTGTTACAGCCCTGTAAACTTGTCTAGTTAAGTAAAGTAGTGTTTAATAGATTGTTTTATATTGTTGCGTGTATTTAAGTGTGAAAACTTCACGTAGGTAGGTTTGAAATTATAGAAAAAAATACTTATGTTTTATAAGTTAAGGTTCATATTTGACGCTTATTTAGAACCTATTGTCAGACTTCTTTGAAGTTGATTGGTAGAGAATGCCTTTCGGCATCAATTTAAGTCTTTGTTTATACTACATAAATAATAGTTCAGTTACACCGACTCTTTTTTTCTTCTAAGGACGAAACGCACCAGTCTGGATAGTGCTTACTATATACAAATGAATTGCATTATATTCTTAAACGTTATAACTATGCCTTCACAATCTTAGCTCTATAAATACAAAGACAAGAATTCCACTCTCAGCCTTTTCAACAAACGCCAGTTGATGTGTGTGGCTATCTTGCGATGATTGGTAGAGAATGTCACTTTAATAATTTTGTCAGTTTCTTAAGTATGAATATTAAATCTGAGTTACTAACCTGTGTCAGCCTTGTGTCTCCACTGACGGTGTAGACGCCATGACAGTCGGTACTGTCCTCCGGCTTATCTGATGCTGGGGATCTTCGCCAGCATGCTGCACAGACCGCCACCAATACACCGCATAACGTTACACTGAAACAAAATTTTCATCATTAGTCCTTAAACACTAAATTTAAAAAGTATAATTATCGTTTAAATGTGAATGAAGGTATTTATTAAAATTCATTTCTGTGAAATAATAGTGTTTATTTAGTAAAGGTCTTTCACTCCCTCTCACCTCAACCAGGTAGAGAAGTATTTTGATGACGTACCCCCTCAAAAAAAAAAATTTTTTTGACATTCTGAAAAGTACTGAAATTGAGTAGGTAGTAAACTACAACTACTAGATCTAGAACGACAATAGACTATATGAGAGACTATAGGACTATAATCAGCATTTCATTATTAAAAAATACAGCTGTAATAAACAACCCTTCATTGCTTTTTCAAAAATATATATACATACAACAGTCTAAGTTTTTTAAAATATTTAAAAAAAATTGGCTTGAAAAATTTTCGTGACTTGAACTCGAAAATTCTTTTCCCGAAGTTTTAAAGGAGGTCAGCGATTAAATGCTTAATTTTTTTATCAGCACCTTACCAGCGTACCCACTTACTTTACGATGTCGTCTGCTCTTTAAGTACTTGCGTTAGTGATAAGAACTGATAAGTAAATGCACAGTAACTACTTATTGATTACTTTTAGAATTGAAAACATATTGTTACCTAATTTTGTTCGTGTGTTTATTGTTTCGAAGCTCCTAAACGAACGGACCAAATATAATGCGGTTTCTTGGAAAAATATTTTTTTTCTAGTTCTAATTACCTTTGGTGTACCATCCTTAGCACTGCTAAACTAAAACTCAGAAGGCAAACAATATCACTACCATAGTATAAAACAAAGTCGCTTTCTCTGTCCCTATGTTTGCTTAATCGTGGGAATCGTCGGCTTTAAGTGTGGGAGAGCCATGCTTCTGCACGAATGGGTCGGCTCGACCGGAGTGATACCACGGCCTCACAGAAGACCGACGTGAAACAACCACAGCGTTGTGTTTCGCCGTGTGAGTGAGGTTACCGGAGGCCCAATCTTTCCCCGCCCCCAATCCCTCCTCAATCCCTAAATCTCCAAATCCCTAATCCCTAAAAGATCGGCAACGCACTCGTTACTCCTCCGTTGCGGGTGTCCATGGGCGGCGCTGATTGCTTACCATCAGGTAATCCGTCTGCCCGTTTGCCAACCAATTACATAAAAAAAAGAATCTTTAAAAGTACGCAACGGGTTTGATTTCAGTTCAGTTTTCATTGATTGTAGAGGAAGGTTCAAATATACAATATCTAATCAATAGTGAAGAAATTAAGAATCAGCATAGCAAAGCAGCCGGGGTGAGTCGCTAGTTAAAAAAAACGTTACAACAGAATGTTTGTAACAGAATTTCAATGAGCTCGTTTCATAATAACTTTTAAAAATGCGTTCACTAGAGGTAAAATAGACTTGCCTAGGTAATAAATTCTTAATTAATAAATAATCCTCTTTACGAAATATTCAGGCTTTGCTTGTAAAAGTGACAATCTTTTTAATTACGAAAAATATATACCACGTTATTAATAAGGTAAAAATGTATAACGTATAAGAATACTTTCTATACCTAGCACTTGGGAATGTATTTAAATGGAAAAAGTTTGCTGGAATAAAGAGAGTTTATAATTAGAAATAATTATAAATAAAGACATTGTAACACTAATTTTAGAGTTGAGCTCCAATTTTAGGACCTAATTTATAAGTGTAAATGTACACTGCAAATAGGTTTGTACCTATATTTATTTCAAGTAGACCACAACAGGCACTTTTAAACGTGAAGCAATAAAGTGTATCAAAAGGTTTAACTTTATGCGTGTCAGTCTGTCCGTCTGTCCTCTAGTGAAGCTATTTGCTCGTTCCAAAGTGTAGATTAGATAGTACTATTTAGTATACGGTAGGTTTAAAATAGTCATACTAAGAGCCCGTTCCACAATATTGGGAAAGTCACTTGTGTGTATGTAAGTACCAGATAAATTTGAATATGTTCACAAACACACACACATAGAACGTAATATTTATGCAGACGAACGAGCAAGAAACTCCATGGATACTCTTTTTCAATCGAGAAACGACGAAATACGCCAACGAAACCTCTGAATAAGCTACACTGCATAAATTACATAAGTATCTAGTTTCTACGTCATAATTAGAGACGGTGATATTAAATTTTTCACCAAATATCTGGTGGTAAATTAATTCCGACATCGGCGCAGATTACAGGGGAGATAAATCGGGCTCGATGAGCTCGCGATAGCTTAATTAACGTCACTATCTAAACTATATGTGTACATGCATATAATACATATGTACATATTATTATCATATAATTTTATTGGCATGTGGGAGGGTAATATTAAATTTTTGACTGATTGTGTGAAGCTTTAGACTCTTCTCTATAACTAAGGGGAATTTGTAATTAGATTTTGTATCCGTTACTACAAAACTACTGCACAGAATTTGATGAAATTTTGACTTTGTAGTAACGATAGTGAAGCGTTCTGAACGAGCTTAGTCTTGGTCCTTATATTTAAGTCGTCCTATATTGATGTTTTTTATATGCGAATTCACCTTGAGTACAAGTAAAAAAAGGTATAATGCAATTTTTTACACGAAATATTTTTTGAATTTTCTTATCAAAGACCGGCCCAAATATGTAATATTTATGTATTGCAAATAAAACAATTACGCAATAAGGCATAATTCTTCAAATATTTTTAAAGCAATTAAGAAAAAATCTAAGGAATGTTGCACATTATGACGTAAGAAAATTTATGAGTGTAAATGTAAATGTATTATTATGCAAGTTCGTTGGAAATTGCGCTTAAATATATTTAGGACAGCCTAGACCTAGTTAGGAACTAACTTATGTATGCACTTATTCATCCTTGCACTACTTACTAAAATAACTATAACATTTTGCATTTTTAAAGTGCAAAATGCACTACTTATTGCAGGGTTGCCGCAGTATTGTATATTACTATCACTACACAATATAAAGCAAAGTCGCTTTCTCTATCCTTATATCCCTATGGATGCTTAAATCTTTAAAACTACGCAACGGATTTTGATACGGTTTTTCAATAGATAGAGCGAATTGAAGAGGAATGTATGTATGTATGTATAATAACCTACATCGAATAGTGGAGAAATTTAGTATCAGCATAGGATCCGTGTGAAGACGGAGCGGGTCGCTCGAATCATACAAAAAAAAAAATAGCATGCTCGCAAATGTTTACTATTATTTGTTAGAAAACGACAACAAATCGTATGCACAAAAGAAAGGAGTCCTATGTCAAAAAAAAAATTGTTCGATTCTCAAAAAATATGTTTCAATTTTCAAGTTCAATTTTGAAATACCGTATTTTATGAGTTAGTTCTGTTTTCTATTAAACATGCGCAATGACTTCTCTGGCCCAGGGTGAGGCGAGATGGAGAGTCACACTCTTTACAAACTAAAAAACCTCCGTTTCTTCTCCTGCTTCAGGGCAATAATGCACTGCAGTATTCTACTCCTAGAGCAGGAGAAGGAGAAGAAACAGGATAGTCAATGAGAGTCTGATACTGGTCATGCGATGATTTATCCCTCTCAAAAAACCCCTTCGTGCACGAGTATTACTCTCCTTAGTCTATTGTTATACATGCAAGGATATTAGTTGGGATTAATTATAAATGTTCATATAAGTAATACGCCAAATAGTTTCAAACTATTATTAAACTTAAATTGAAAACAATGTACGAACTAGAAAGTATTGAATTGTGAAAGCCTACAACTTCCAGATTCTCGAAATAACTTGGTCTGGCACACTTGTTCGACCTTGTCCGAATTTAGGAGTCGTGTCAGTTGCTACTCTGGTTGAAGGGATTCCTTTAATAAACTTCCTTTTTCAAATAATGGATTGTGTTAGTTTTTCTTGAAATATGTTTTGTTGACTTTTTACCATTGTTATTAAAGTTTCTGTGAAAAGATAGTAAACTTTATACAATAGTAGTTTAATATTATGGTTCTAGTCTTTAAAGCGATATAACATCTAATGTCAAATCCTTTGGGTCATATAATATCTGATTTCATTTTTTTTTTTAATAATTACCTAAACCCTTTGTTAATATTAACAGAAAGTTTATAATATATAAACCCACCAAACTGTTAAGACAGTTTGTCGGCGGGAATAGCGTTCGTTTTTAGATACATACATCATTATATAAAATGTTCGGAACAAATCGGGACTTATTATCGGGAATTAATCACAAACAAAACAAAATCTAAAATAAAATAAAAATAGATAGTAATTAACTTAAACTAAAACTACTAAAATTATAAAACGTTAAAAAAATTAAAGCGCTGCTATTTCAAAAATTCGAAAAACGAACGCAATGGCTGTGCGGTGGCACAAAAAAAAACAAAAACAGATCATGTAAAAGAAAATCTTATTCGGAGCGCACTACCATCACAGTACGTCTTTGTAATATCAAACAACACATGCAAACAAAGCAGTTGAACAACCAGAACAACACAGTCTTTCATTATATTAATGACAGAAATAATTTCCAAGAATTATCCCCTTAACGTTTCTAATAAATTCGTTCTCGCACTCGAAGCTGGGAACTGCAAATGGATCCTTTTAGCACACAACGTACAAAGATCCTTATCGCTTTTATAGCCATTTACCTACGCAAAAAAATATAATAGCACTTACAATGTTTTTTAACGCTGTAATATGTGTTGGGAAACATGCTGTATATTTTTTTTAACTAATAAGTATTTCAAGATGTATCACGCCTTTAGTTTAAAGTAGGTACAGGTGGTTCCTAAATTGATTTTAGCTAGGGCGAAAGTTCCGTAGACAATTAGGTATTGATAAACACTCCCTTATAACGACCGTAAAGACGGGACGGAATGGACCAGTGTTGCAAATGACAAAGCACAATGACAGAAGACACGCTTAAGGGATACTTGGTAAACAAATATTTATTGTCTATACCAAAAATTTAAACAATTTGGAATAAAGCGTTATTATAAATAAAAACTTAAAACTTTACACAATGGTGTAAACTTTTCACTTTTGTACATAATAATTATTCCAAATAATATAACCGAATTGAAGAGTCTAAACCCAATTAAATCAATTTCGAAGGCCATTCAAATAATACTGATACACAAACTATTTACGATCAATATTTTATTTTTATAAATTCTAAAATAACTTCACAGTTTACGTCTTCAGTTCTGACGTCTGTTTCCTAAACTGGGTCGCAATTGGGTCAAAAGATAAAATTGGTATCTATGCTTAATTTTATATCTAACTTACAGATACGCGAGGAGTGATCGAAGCTTGTGTAAATCAAGGAACTAATTAATAACCTATTAACTCCTCTCGTTCCTTATTGATCACTAGCTTTTGCCCGCGACTTTATTTAGCGTGAAATAGCAACTTCCTGCATATTTTTGGTTTAAAAACTATCTTATTCCTTTCTCGAGTTCCAATCTATATCTTTACCAAATTTCACACAAATAGGTTCAGTAGTTTAGGCGTGAAGACAGACAGGCAGAGTTACTTTCGCATTTATAATATTAGTTTGAATAATATGAATTTATTTAATCCTGCTGTGCGTGCATATGTAAAATCAATCGTCATCAATCCAGTCTCCAGACATTTTCCGCTAAACACAAACATCTCCCAATGAAGCCCCCATAAGCGGGTAAAAAGCGATCTTCAAATAGCTGCTCTTTACACGTCATTTATGATTTTCAATATTTGTCATCGTGAAGTTAAAAACTGCTGTACAGAATCTGAATGAATTTTGTTATACAGATGGGGTAGGTCATACCCAATGAATCCCACATCAGCTGGTGCGTAGCGATTTTCTACAGCTGCTCTGTATCCCATTTATGATGTTGAATATTTGTCATTTTGAAGTTAAAAAGAGCCATAAAGAATCTTATTAGTACTTAATTCACTTAACCGTCGTTATTTAAGAAATAACCTTATGAATTCTTATGCTTAATTTCTTGGGCAATTCCCTGATTACGAATCTCGCTTTTGACTTTATTTTGTGATAAAAGAGATTGTATGTTCTGATTTCCTTGTTGTAGAGTTTTTTGTTTTAATATGTTATCTTAGTACCTTCACAATGTATAGTTTTGATGTACTTAGAGTATATCGTCAGAACTTTTTCTTTTTTGCCGTTGGAAAATCGCCCTATGACTAGGTCTAGGGTAAGGCGCGAGAGTGTCAGAATCTTAAACTAAAAACCCCCGCGTTCCTTCTCCTGCTTTAGGCCTTGGCCGCGGTGCTTCATTGCACTTGCCCCGCAACATCTCAGCTGTATCTGTATCTATCTCTTATTAGCATGTAGTTAAATGCATAGTATTAGGACAATGCGGTATCACACGTCAAATTAAGTGTTCATACGGTTGTCGAACTCAAACTAAGTTAGTGTAATCCCTTTGGCGTCATATCTTAAGCGATATGAATAACTGTCCTGTAATATGGCTCCAATGTTAATTGTAGAATTTAGAGTTTAGTTTAAATTGACATGGTCGATTCTAGTAAAAGTTTTTATTTAATAACCAAGCCCGATTAGGCTGTAGCATTTTCGACATAATAATCTACCAGATAAAGTAACTTTTGCAACGTTTCACATAACGGTATAGATTATGCAAATGTGTGTGTGTGTTCTTAAATTTGCAAAAAAAAAATACTAAAACGTATTCCCCTAACCTCGTGTATTAGAGACAATTGAACAATAAATAATACAATAAGTGCTCCAGCATAATCAGTATCCCTGAAATGTATCACGAAAAGTCCTCTTAAGCCGAAAAAATCTCGCTTTGTATAAAAGTATAATTACAAAGGTCGTGCTGCCACCTGGTGCGTAACATCAAAATGATACAGAATTATCCCCACTTACCCTTTCGACTGAGCAACCCCTACATCCCAAAAATTGCACTGGATTTAAATGAAGATTTCTTAAAAAACTATCATAATTGGGAAGTTTCCTAGTCCAAAAATAAACTATTTTGACTTAACTATATGATTAATTTATTAAATTGTAATCATGCTTTTATTCATTGATATGACGATGGATTAATTATAAATATTTATTTATAGCATAAATCAACAACTTTACGAGAAAACTTGACTGTCGCCATTTTATACGAAATTCATACAACAGTATCATTTGTCATACCTATTCCAATAAAGGTTTCGATATAAATAATAACCAAATAAATGTTAAATAGAAAAGAGTGTACAATAAAAAAAGAATTGCATTAAAATCAAGACATCTACATATTAAATTTACTTTCCGAATCAATTAAATGAGTTCCGTAGTAATGAACATCAGTGTTCCATTTCACCTAACTTACATCTCGTCCGTGAAACTTTAAAAGGTGTCCACCCATTATCAGAGATTGAAATATGTTGGTAAGGTCTTGTTATCACCATAAACCAGTTACGACGTACTTTTAACCCAGGCTTTACTACTCATATACACGTTATAGTTTAAAATAACGGTTCAATCACGAACCTTACGTTCATGAGTTAGGAATTGATAACTGAATTTTGTTCTACCATCTTCTCATATGCTCTGATATTAGACTGGTTTATTGTCTTCATGTTACGAACAAGCAATAATATATTTTAATATTTTTTATTGGTGTATGTTGTGGGTTGTCGCATGTTTCGTATACATTTTTATTACATAGTTCAATCTTCAATCCTACCATGATTAGGAATCACTCTGTCCAGTGAGGGAAATCGCATCAAAATGCGTCTAGTAGTTTCGTAGCTTATTCCTAACAGACAGATGAATATAACTGACAACACAAAGATACCAACCTGACGAAGAATATATTGATACTGTACGAGGATGTCTCAGTCTGCAGTACATCTGCTTGCGTGTGGTTGTAATAATGTCGTGCGTGCGACACGGCCGCCACCGCGGCTAGTCGCTGCGAGCTGCCCATGGCCCAGCCGAGCGGGCTGCGCTGCGCACCAGCTGACCCTGCAGCCGCCACCAGCCACAAGCACTGCCAGCGAGCCACCACCACACCACGCGGCGCCGCCTGCGCGACCGCCGCCACCAAGCCACCACTTTCTTTCCCAACTCTCACTAATATAATCCTCTAATCCAAACTTTGTTATACAGATTTTACCATTTTTTTTTCTATCACAGTTATTTCTAATTATAGCTCTGTTATAAGCTTTTCACCATATTTAAATGTCAATGGACACTGGCTCATGGGTTCACGATTGTTATATCATCTGTCGATCGTATCACATGAAGAACTGTGGCACATCTGAAACAAATAAATATATTCGGTGTACTGTTTCAATACAAAAAATAGTATAACTTCTAGTTCAATAATGTGGGGTAATAGCACAGACATACATAGAGCTTTTATCGCGCAGAAAAAATGTATCAGAGCAATATATGGCCTACAAAATGACGATTCTTGTCAACCCAATTTTAAAAAACTTGGATTACTACCTTTACCATTACTCTATATATTTGAAACTTGTAATTTTGTGCATAAGAACATAGAATTATTTAAAACTGCAAAAGACATATATCCACGTAGCCGACGATATCCGGACAGACTGGTCCTAAGTGATGCACCCAGACTCACTAAATATAATAAAAGCTGTGTAGCTATGTCTATAAGAATATATAATAAACTACCATGTCAAATTAAAGCACTAAATATAAAACTGTTTAAAAAAAAGTTATACCACTGGCTAAATGAGCAAAATTTTTATAGTGTTAAGGAGTTTCTGGAATCTAAAGTTTAAAGATCCTGAACAAGTAAAATTGAATATTTGCATGCTATTTACGATGTAGCTAAAACATGATTGTACTTATTATTATTTCTTGTAACACCTTTATACCATGTTTTAATGCGAATAAATATATTATTATTATTATTATTAAATATGTGTGTTCTTTTCCACTCACGGGACCACAGGGTCCCGGACTTTTGGAAGGCGTACGAGGGGCCGAAGCCAACTCGCAGAGGCCCTTTGAACAACTTTAATATAAGTGAAATGGGACATCAGCCGGCAATTATCCCTGTATGCACTATGAAAGTGCACCCAAGGACAATCCCCGGTTGATGCAGGACTATTGCGAAATGTGGTAAAAATTTATAGGGTTATGGGTATGGGTTGCTATGGACTGGTGAATATGATAACTATGGAAATACTATGGCCCCTGCCCCTGACCAATATTGATACATACGGATAAACAGGCAGGGGGTGCCTGGCAAACTCAATTAATGGGCCCCCGGAAACGGCCGCTAGCATGTAGCGACAAGGGGGCAACATTCGTTGAGCTGCTTGGGGAAGGAGAGGTATCCCACGGCTATCAGAGCAATCCCGGAAGTACGGTCAAGACCCCTACCAGCATCTTACTGAGATACATCCTTCCCCCGAGTCTCCTTCAACTCCTACTCTTGCGAATCTCCACTCAAGCCAGCCAATTAAGGCAAGAATGAGGTGGGAGTGCTTGTTCCTCATCAGTGTTCACTCCAGCTCGTCACGAGGACTAACCGGAGAGAGAAGAACAAGACACCTCCCGGGAGTCAGGTCCGTGGGGTCGCCACTGCCCAACAGCTCGCCACAAGCTGCCTTGCGGACTTATTATTATTATTATTATTAATAAACATGCGTTATGCATCATCATCATCAGTGTACAAGTGCCCACTGCTGAGCAAAAGCCTCTTCTCACACGGAGAAGGTTTGAGCATTAACCACCACGCTTGCTCAAAGCGGATTTGCGATTTCAAACTTATAATCAGAAATTGTAAGTCTAGGTTTCCTCACGATTTTTTCCTGCACTGTGTGTCAGTGGTGTCTAAATATATGTAGTCCATAAAAAAGTCACATTCACTTGCCAGGTTTTGACCTGTACTCTTATGCATGAGAATCCGGCGCCATAACCTCCGGGCCCCCACTACAATTCATACCACAGTTATTTATCATTCTGTGGACTTTGCACGTTTCAATTTGCAATTGGTTTCCTCTTTCTAAGAGGTTAAGTAGCGTGCTTTACATGTTCTATGTTCTTCTTCACAAAACAAACAAATGCGCATCGTAAGCACATTTGTTTGTTTTGTGAAGAAAAGTTTAGTGATTCTTTTATGATTTTAAATTACCATAAGCCTGAATACGTACTTTCCAAACGTGTATCTGTTTACTCTACGTCGTTATGTAATTGTAATAACTAATAAAAAAAAATAAAGCCCATTATCCAAACAAATAATGAAAGGATAATAAACATAGGTAACCTCTTTAATAAAACTTCAAGAAAATAGTTTACTCGGAAAATTATTTCCGTGCTACGAAACTGTTATCGTCTACGAACTACGCGCTACGCTTTCGTAGCAATTAGCACACGTGCTGTACAAAACATTATATTTGTATATTACATTTGCTTATCATTGAAACACACGAATAGTACTAAAACTTATTAATGATATATGAAGGATTTTTGTAATCTTTATTAATTGGATTTTAGTAAACAGTGACAATATCATTCCCATAACTTACAAGTATAATGAAAACTTATTTAGTACAAACACAACATTATTAACATTACATGTCTTAATAATATTTTACATTATTTTGTGTGAAAGTTAATTATACAAATTTAGTTTGTTATTAATTACCAAGGAAGTTAAAGCTTTTATTATTAAGTATCACGCTATTGAACTTCTTGACTCTAAACAAGAAACTATAAAAATTACGTCCAGGTGTTAATATAGTTTTAAATTGTATAAGAGAGTAATTCTGAATACTTTAAAGCAGCACAACCCTTCTTAAGAGTTGAGTTAAAAGAAAATAAAAAGGAATTAGTCATAAAACTCCAGTTGAAACTTTACAGTTTTCAGTTTATTTTCATTGAAATAATCTAAGTGAAAGGAAACGCTAAAAATCTTGACGATTCGTTCGTTCCTTGCTAATAAAAATAGTAAATAAGCTTTTGGTCTAATTCACTCAACTTTATTATTTTTCGTAAATATTTTTTTCTTTTAAACTATGCTTAACAATCTGTTAATAAATATTTTTGTAGATTTTATATAAATAAAGTCAACAGCCGTGTTTGTCATTGGTACTAAGTGTACACAGGATTTATTTACTTCCAAAGATAATTTGTTTATAAGAATTTAATTGATTAGTTATATATTTAATATTTCCACGTTATTTAATATTTCAGTTTTATTTTAGTAGTTTAATTATTTCATAATCATTCATAAGCAGTAATCATTAATTCTTAATTTATAGTATAACATTTTTAACATTATAGTATATTTTTTATTTTTGAGTCAACATAGTCGCATTGAAACTTATTATTATATTATTTTTATAATTATAATAGTAACCTTTCCGGATTTTTTTTCAAATACAACACTCTAAACTTTACTGAAATCAGTTTCACTTGATTCGTTTTACTAGTTCTTATATTAATTTTATAGTTCATAATTAACTTCATTACTTGGTATTATTTTATGAATAATTTTTATTTAATACATTTTGGAAGCAAGTAGTTTTATATATTGAAAACACTAATCACGATATTGGAAACAACTTCCACATTTAACGTATTGAGTCGAAACGTAATATGGACATAAAAATCCAAAGATAAAACTTAAGCAATACAAGTTTTGCAACGAACAGTAACAATGCTCTTAAAGTCTAAATTATCAGCAGTAAATAACCGTACCTTAACAGCCGTTTTAACTTCACAATTAATTCCACAATACGAGTTTATTTCCCAATATCACTTGAGTATAGTTCACGATAACTGAATTTAAACATCGATCGCGAATTAAGTTTCCGTCGGGAAGGAAACACGACGCGAGTCCCTGGCGTCTGAACGTAGAGTGAAGGGAGGTTTCGCCACCCGCCCCGAAACCAATATTGGCCACACACAACCAACACCAACCCTTGGTCCATTCGCTGTAAACTTCCCCAACTGTTATTATCGGTTTTCCAACTACATCTGTGTGTGTTTGCAGTGGAAATAGCGGTTTCGGTGATATACCACGTTGTTTCGGTGCGTCGCTTTTGTGTAATGTTTTTAATGTGTGCATTCGATTTTTGTTAATCTTTTTCACAATTCTTCGTTTGTATCGCTTTGTATCTTATTTTATATAATGTAAATCGTAACTACATTCATATGTTTTTGTATAAATAATTCTATTGCACATTACATAGCAATAATACTGTTTATAATTTGTAAACGTTGCTAAGACCATGACTGCATCTCGATCGATAACGATAAATTTTTTCGGTAAATATACTCGTACTTAAATCTAACACACTCGTCAACATATAAACATGTAAAAACAAAAAACATTCCGAATGCCAATTAAAGCCAACATTGGGACCAATATTAATGACATTAGCGGCCCAATATTGGATCTTTCCCGTCACTCCCTCGGCCGTGTTCGTCCCGTCACGCCGCCAACAGGTTCGTACATTTAATTTATTGTAATATGTCACGCAAACATACACCTTATTACAATGACTTACATTTTCGAAGGTCACATGATGACATTTAACATTTTATTTCTTTTATCTTTAGTATCTTTTATGTATATAGCTTGTTTCCTGATTGTAATTACTCGTACATCTGTTGGAATGTATTAGCTGTGCGATTTCGATCATTTGATTCCTCTACATACAGTCCGCACAGATATTTGGTATGCAAGTAAGAATATAATGTTTGAGTCTCAGTCAGGGTTGCGGGGTAAGTACAATAGGGCACTGCCTCGACCTAGAGCAGGAGATGGGGTGGGGGTGGGGTTAGTCAGTAAGAGTATGACACTCCTGGGCAAGAAAGAAGGGAAGAAGACATTTGATGTCTATACAAAAAAAGGTTCAGAGACAATAGCTACGCAAATTTATATGGTTTTTAACGAAGACATATCTTTTTAACCATTAGTCGTGGCCAAACTATGATTGCTGTCTGTACTGATTCAATCTTTATTTTCCTACATACATACTAAATATCTGTGCAGACATGTAAGGTGGAACCATGAACTCACACTTTCGGCCTTTGAAAATAGAGACTAGAGCGTCAACTATAACGATCCTTATAGAATAACCTGCTTTTCTCCGCGAC